GACTGGGGGCTACTGTGTCTTGGGTCTCTGTCGGGGGGGCGGGCGGTTCTCTGTATCTGGAGGGTCTCTGTGTCTATGATCTAGCTCTCCCTCACTCTCCCTCACTCTCTCGCTCCTTCTCCCCCCCCCCCCCCCCCCCCCTCTTGAATAAGAAGTGCTCAGGCTCTGGCTCAGACTTAGGGGGCTAGCGAATGACGCCCCCGCCACGAGCTAGCTTCCTGGAACCCCAATCCCTCGGGCTCCAGACATCAGGCTGAGGTTCAGTATCCACCAGGCAGTGAGGCTAAGGGTGACGTGTTGCCTCTCCTCAACCCACCCGGACAGACATCGGCTGGTTTAGGGGTGCCCTCCCTTGACAGACACCTCTGGGGGCGCCCCTACTGAGCAGATGTGCACCTCCGAGCGCTGGCGCGGAGGCAGGCGCTTTGCAGACACTGCCTGCCGCGGGGCAGAAGAGGAAGGCTGCAAAGCCCCGCGGAAGATGCTCGGGACTTCGGAGAGGAAGAAAGGAAGAAAAGCGCCCTGGGAAAGGGGCCGTCCACTTTTGTGTCTGCTTCGTGGAGGCCACCAGCTCTCGGAAGACAGACTGACCAAGGCAGCCCACACGGTGCTGCTCGGAAGTGCACCGGGTCCGGCAGTGGCGCAACGCGCTCAGTCCGTGTGTCCCGGAGGGCGACCACTTTGTTTAACACCCGGGACACGAACTAGCGACCCGGGTTGGGAGAGTTTGTTCACTTATCTGTGCTTATCTGTTAGCAAAAGGAAAATGTAAAATAAAAAAATAATGTTTAAGAACAACACAACGTGACATCTTTTAGAACCATAGCTCTTTCTTTAGACAAAAGCCAATTTTACCTACCCGCAAAACCCATGGAACCTTTGGAACGTCCATTCGCGGCATTTGGGCGCCCTCTGGCTGTCTAGGTTGCTTTCTCATCCTGCTGCTTTCCAACGGTGCAGAAAAGATGGAAATGCAAGTTGTCCTGTTTGGATCTGCCCTCCTGAGTGGGCCGTGAATTCAAGACAAGTTTCTCCTCTATCCTGGTGAAAAAATGTAACTATACTTAGGAGGACAGACGCCAAACGTGCCATCAGTGTGTCGTAGGAGAAAGGTAAGTAGCTTCCCCTTAACGGAAAAATTCATATTAGGACTTTAATGAAAGTTAGATAAGAAAAAAGTGGCAATCTTGTGTCTCCTCCTCCTCTCCCTTTCATTCTCTCAGACTCCCAGTCTTTGCTTTTTCCCCACCCCTCCCGGTTTCAACGAATTAAAAAATCAAATAGTTCAAAAACAGAAACTCAAATTATAAACAAGATTGCTTCCAACACATTTTATTCATTTGAATTTTCAGCCTCTTATACCACCAGTTATGACAAATAAAAATTTGGGACCACCAAATGTTCTCCAGAGGCAAACACCATGCCAGGTTGAAGACTACTGGGCTATACTTTTTAACTTTTTAAATCAAGTCTCGTGTTTTATCCTATTAAATTGAACAAATATTTCTTATTTTGTGCTGGTATATTTACTGTTAGAGGTGCTGAGTATTGTATCTATATATATTTAAATAGAATTTTAGCATTATTCATTTAGGATTCAGGCTTTTTATCCTTGTGATCATCTTTAAATTAATAAATAAAAATTCCTTCTATGTTTTCATAAGTTTATAGGTCTTACCTTCCTTTCTGTGCTTCCTTTTGCCAATTAAAAAGAAACACATAAGATAAAATGACTGCTCAGTACCTTTGATGCTTCTGGCTAAGTGTTTATGATGGAGAAAGAAAACAAGCCTTTCAAAGGTGTGACTGGAATGCAGATCACTGGTTACCATGGAAACTGGAGGCAAAAGCTTATGCAATGAACAGAACTGCAGGTCTCCTTGATTTTGTCTTCCATTAGATTCAGTTGTTCTCTTTTCAAAATTTCCAAACAAAAGAAAAGGGGGAGAAGGGTAAGGGTGTAGCTCCACAGCTCAGTGATGGAGCACTTGCCTGCGATGCTGGAGACCCTAAGTTCAGTCCCCAGAACTATACATGTACGCATGTGCGTGCACACACACACACACACACACACACACACACACACACATGGGGGCGGGGGGATGGCAGAAAGTGGAAGGACTCTGCCAAAATATTTCATCTCGGTGCAACTGCATTACTATATAAAATCCAACCTGGTGCTGTGATATTTTAATCTCATTTTCAGTTGTTCCTCTAACCTCACACATCTTAGCATGGATTGTCTCAAAAATCCTCTAAAGCTCACACTCAGAGAATTAGGAACCAAGCATGTGAGGCTCTGAATTTTGGAGAACTGTTGGTACTACCTGTTGTGAATGTCACATAGCTGCTTATGTGAAGACTGGTGAGCTTGAGAGGCTAAAGGGTTAAGGATATGATTTGTGGTAAATGTAATTGACTTGCATCATTACACCCAAGAAAAAAAGGCTGCTTTACTTTCCAAAAGAATAAATATGTTTTCAATAAGCAAAGCTAGACTACATGACCTATAAACTGACTCATACTGTCATAACTACATAATTGCTCCAGTGAAACCTAACCTACATTATAAAGGTATTTATCAGAAAAACAGATTCCTCCACAACTACTTATTTTTGCTAACAGATTTGCCACTGAATTGCCTGTAGTATAAGGGTCTCATTGTCATTCAAATTAGACAGTTTACAAAAATGTCCACCCATGTCTGTCCAGCTTTTTAATTATGTCTATGTTGTCCACCAAACCATCTGCAGTGGGGCTATGTAGCCAGACCTCTTCTTACCTCCCAGTGTCACTGTAACTCCCTTGCCCTACCTCCCACAGAGCCCACCAAGGCGTGAATGAAACCCAGTGACCACAGTGTCACTCCAGCCACCTTTGTTGTCTTTTTGAATTATTCCTGTTCATGACACTGAATTAACCCAAAGTCCCAGAGACCCATTTTGAAATTGTATTCTACTCAACTAGTATAAAATTTGGGTCAGAGGACCACCAAATCTCATTTATAAATTGCAAGCAAAAGGTTAGATTGTCACTATTACACATAAGCTGTGCGTGCCTTGCTCTTTCCTCTTAAATATATTTATAATTTTCTCGAAAGGAAAATATCAAAATCTATGTGTTGATTTCATCGTTTTACCTTCCCCTCTCCAACCCCAGACTTAGAATTCACACAGCCACAGGAAAGGATTTCCTTGGTTGAAACCAGTGCTTCCTGGCTATGGGTAGTTTTACTTCCCAGGCAACCACTGGCAATATCAGTACCGGAAGGCATTTTTAGGCGTCACTTGGGAGTTGGAGGAGGGAAGTGGGAAAAGGTTAGAATTGCTGCTAGTGTGTTGAGCCCAGAGATACTGCTAAACCACCAATGATAAACAGGACCACCCAGGACAGACAGTTATCCACCAAAATATCAGTAATGATGAGAATGAAAAAGCTGAAAATTGAGTATGTTGTTGCTACTCATTTGGGAGAGGACAAGATTTTTTTTTTCTTTTTGGATTGATTGACTGATTGAGACTGATTGACTGAGATTGATTGATTGATTGATTGATTGATTGATTGATTGATTGATTATCTTTGACAGCACTAGGTGCAGAGGAAGCTGACTTTCTGTGATGTCTTCAGCAGGGCAGCACAGAGGGGTCTCCTTTGGTACCCTTAAGGGGCCCCTCCCTCTACTGTAATAGAAATCAGGCTGGGTGCTTCAGAAGTAAGGCCAAAGATGACCACTGAGGACTTTGAATTCCGTTCCCTGTTGCTACATGCTGAGTAACTGAAAGGAAACACACAACAGTCCCCAGTCCCCCCTTCTCTTTATGTGCTGTAAAAGGATAACGGGAACCCGAGTGCACACTTGTTTACTATGAAGCACTGGGCTGGAAGTTGCTACAGCACTAGGAGAAATGTGCCCAACAGGAAAGGCAGATGAAAGCCATCCAGGTCCCTCTGAATAGTCTCATTCCCAGCTCCCCTGCCCCTCCACCAATCATAATTCCCTCACAAATCCTTCTGTTCCAAAGTACCTTTCTGTTCACCAGCACCTCATAGGAACAAGCCATGTAAAAACCAATGATAAAGAAGGATTTATTCACCAACCAGTAAGGGCTTTTCCAGGCCATCCCTGCCTGTTCCCACAGAACCAAGCATGGAATTAAAGTACAAGGGCCTCAGCCTGGGAGGAACAGTCCTTAATTTGGGGGTTCCCCTCCTTGCTAAATCCTTTAGAGAATAAGCACCCATAACAAAGAATATTGTAGAACAGTTATTCACATAACCTCATTCTGAATAAATGAGTGTTGAGGGGCCTGCGTGGAGCAGCGTGAGCATTAAGTCAGGCCTAGCTCCTTGGGAACACCAGCTTCTAATCCCTGATCAGCTCCTACAGGATTCTAGTATTAAAATAATGTTACTTCAAGTCCAGTGCAAGGAATGGTGCAGGAAATAAATTGGTAAATGCAAAATAAAGTTTCCAACAGAATGCAAAGAACACTCCTTTCTCATATATAGATCAGGAGGTACTGTACTGCCCACTTCCACTGTCCAGGTTCCAGCATCTGCCTACCTCTGCACCTATGTGCTTCGGATAACTCCTTAGGACTCCAAACAGTTTTCTTAGCTCTAGCTCTTGAATGAGTTTAATGACTATCAGAAAGAAGGATTTTTCTCCAAACCAAAAACAGTAAGGTGATAAAAATAAGAGATTCAGACTGAAAGTGTGTGTGGGAAAATACCTGCTCCAAACAGTTGAGAATATTTTTAAAATTTTTTTTTTTAAAAGCTGTGTCAACAGTTTCAAGGAAAAGCAAACCTGAAGCATAAAAATGAAGTAGATGATCGCGTGAATGGGCCAGCGTGCCTGGGAACCTGACACAGTGGGAAAACTGCGGCTCCTAGCCTAAGCATCAATGTTCTTGAAAGACTTGGAAGATCAAAGAAAATCAGCTTCATTGTCCTTACTAATTTTGTCAAAATCCAGCACAAAGAAAGGCGTTCAAAATGACCCCCCCATGCCTGAAGCAATGCTGAGTAGTATGCCTGCTGTCCCAGCGAGGGCATAAGTAAATACAAGAGGATATGTCTGCAGAGTTCGTCCCCAGATTACTGGCAGCAGACTTCCCTGGGAATTGCTGTTACTTCCAAAGTGGGGTGGAAGGTAACTTAGCTTTCTAATGTCACATGATTAATTAATGTGACACATGATTAATGTTCTATGTTTAATGAAGGATCTTTGCAATGACCATTTATTGCTTTAGTGATTACAGTATAATGTAGTTTGGAGAGTTACTTGGACCTCAGACCTAGGAAATGGCTCCTCAGAGCCTGCCTTCTCTTCAGCAAAACCTGGGCTCTGCTTTGTACAACACATCCTCTGGATCTTTCTGCTTCGTCACTTCTACACAACTGGCTCCATTCAGATGAAAACTGTGCCTCACTCTGACCTCAAAGCAGAAAGACCTAGCTCTGATCTGGGGTGCCACACCCCAGTGGACTTCTAGAGCAAAGGTCCTCTGTATGCCTGCCAGTCATCGATGAGTGGCAGTTACAGGAACAAGAAGCCCTTCCCTCCTCTGTCTATATATTAACTTTCTATATACAGTTTTCTGTGTTGATGACCCAGAACGTACACAAAATGTTCCGCTTTCAACATAATATTGTTTTTAGGTCTTCCTCCGTTTATCTGAATGATGTATTACATAGCATTCCTGCTAAGTGAAATCAATTCAACACTTTATCTTGACAGGCCATTATTTTTCCCTTTCTTATTCTTAATGATACAGATATAATATCTTTAAACAAGAGTTTTCCCTTTCCAAATATTCTGTTTAAGTTTCTAAGTAAGGAGTCCATCAATTACTGGTATGGTGGATTTTCTGGTTTTTTCCTTCTAAAAAGACTAAACAAATTCAATACAATCAAAAGAACTACTTTTTCCAAACTCAAGCACCAGTACTCAACAATTCTTCATAGGTAAAGGATTCAAATGATTTCTGTGGATAAACGTTTTCTAACTGCCCAGTCATTTCTTCAGTGGTACAATG